AGAGAGAGAGAGAGAGAGAGAGAGAGAGAGAGAGAGACGTGTTCGAAACTGAAGCAGGTCTCTTGTTGTTGACAGCATGTCAAACGTTCTGGTGCATTCCGTAATACAAAACGTTCAGAGGCCCAACACGTAAACACGTTACATCCAAACTCAAAACATACAAAAACAAAGTCTGAAAGGAAGTTGACAAACACGCTGTGATCGCGAGCACTGCATCATAATATGCGTACACCTGGGCAGGCAGATAGATAGAAATAGAACAGGTAGACAAAATGTGCACAGACAGACAGACAGAAAGACACACAGAAAAACAGACAGACAGACAGACAGACAGACAGACAGACAGACAGACAGACAGACAGACAGACAGACACACACACACACACACACACACACACACAACATAATTATAGCAGACGTACATAGTTAATCAGTATGGATACATTTCGGGCTTTGGTGCTGGGGGGATCTGAGCACTTATGCACCTGTCGGGTGTGCAATGACGTTGCTGCCCAGGACAGGTAATACAGGTAATGTACATAGTTAATGCACAGAGACATTTTTCAAACAAGTATTTCAAAACTAATAAAACAAGAAACACAATTCTTACAAGTGCATGTGATGCGCATTTGCAAAAGACATTGGCTCGACTCCCACAAGGAGAAGTTGATTCCGTCTAGTATTCTCGTCCATCTACTGAGAAGCAGTGAAGCCCACGCGGTCTTAGGTTGGCCCGGGAACGCGATGTCGAAGCAGCCCGCCTCCTAAATACATTATTATGGTGTCTCCGTGTGGATGGTTGGCAGGCGCTCTGGTGCGGTTTGCTCATTCTTTCCTTGTGTCATTTTCTCTCCTCCATTTCTTTGTATGTCACTCTCTGATAACATCTCTTATCTTCCACACTTATATGACCTGTGTTGCAAGTGCAGTAAAACTCTTTCTAAATCGAAAATCAAATTTACTGTCTCGATAAGGGGAGTTAACATAAGTTCAACATATTATTATGCAAAAACAAAAACAAAAGAGAAAACCAATAAGATAATTCCACATACCTTGTGCTGTTAGGATTGCCAGAACGCAGACGATGCCAATCGCTCCTGTCATGTTGACTGGTTGACTCTCTTCTCACAAAAGTATCAGATATTTATGAAGACAATTCTGTGAATTAATGTCCTACTAATCTGTCATCATTAAATATACTTTATTGAAAAGCTTTTACAAAGGTTTTTTTTTTTTTAAGTTGCTTACAGTTACAAGAACACGATTACTGATCTAGGTACAGTTACTTTTGTTTCGAAATTTGGTACTATACGAACTCTTAAAGTTCGTGTGTCTTAGGTCTAGATTTAGATCTAGTTTTAATTTCAGAGCTTGGCTTGAACAGGGAAGCCCTGTTCGGGAGTGGCGAGTGGCGAGTAGCAATGAGACCTTACGTAGTCGGGTATTTATAGGGCCAGACTTACTTTCATGGTCTACAGGTTCTCTCTCTATTCGCGCACTGACGACACAGTGCAACGGGCAACTGAGCCGTTCTGTGGGAATCGTTTTATTTCGTGATTGCGATTTTTTGTTTTAGTTGATGTTCTGCATAATTTCGCTACCTCAGAATTACTTCGTTTTTATCGGACATTATTTGTTGTTGCATATTTTGATATATTAAGTCCTTGAGGTTAGAAACCAAATGTTCTATCTGTTTTACCAAAATCGTAAGATTATTTGGAGTCGTCATCAAGATAGTCGATTTATTTTACGTCAGATTTCTCAAAACTAGGCACTGAGCGGGTAGAACTTCATGATTCTAGAGCAGCGATTTGCTGCTTGTTGTTTTGCATGGTTGAAAAAAGAGAAGCACATCGACACAAGAATGGTTATTTAATGCTGGGAAAATGTAAGAAATGATACGGACAGATAGAAACAACAGAGGAGAGTGTAAAAAAGTAGGACCTACCAGTGGCGCCCTCCAATCACCAACGTTGCTGCGAAACGCCTATACTGTGTTTCTGTTTTCCTTCTAAGTAAACGTATCTGTTGGCTTTGTACTGTTTTGTTCTTTTCTGACTTGTTTCGTTTTGTTTTGTGGGCGACGTGTTTTTTTTTTCTTTTTTTCTCTTTTTTGAAAGGAGGTGTGTGTGGG